CTAAATTTGAACCTATTTAGTTCCTGTCGATTTATTTGTATTTCCATTTTTGTAGTAGGCCTAGGTTTATTTATACTTTTGTTGCAAATAAAATTTTAGATTGATAGTTTTAAATCAAATTGTTTTATTTATTAATTTAAAGTTCTTTAAGGTTTTGACAAAAAATTCGACATTCGACAAAAAATATAAATAATTTTAATGTGAACAAATTTAGTCTCTGTCTATCATTTAAAATATAATTACGACTGAAGTGGAGACATAATGCTGAAAAGGTGTTTAGTGATTTTTATATTTTGAATATGTTTTTGACAAATATTGTAAAAATCCAATCATCCAATTTGCTTGCAATTGAAATAGTTTAAATTTGATGATGACGTGATAATTGGGCTGAATTTAATGATAATGATGGCAATGATGATGATATTGATGGTGATAATGATTGCAATAATGATGAGGAGGATGTTATTAATGATATAATGACGATGATGGCTGTCTATGGTTCTGGTAGTATAAAGGCGGCCTCCAACGGACTTCAAAAGTAGGAGTTAGCATAAGGGGTAGATATAGGGTCGAATGATGAGAAAAGACGTAGATCTACACCTCCGCAGTTTAAGACACGATGTTGCTATTGATTATGATGGTGCGGGTTGTAGCTGATCAAAATTATGATGATGCTGGCGACGATACAAATACGCATATAGGCCTGGTCCACATAACGTAAGGACTTTAGATTTAGAAACTTATATGTTTGGGGATTTGGTTAAAGATCAGGGTAAATTTTATAAAACATATCCGTCATTATCTACTAAGCAGGCCTAATGGATTTGTAATATATTTAGGTAACACCGTCCAGCAAGCTCAGTTTTAGTGTCCGTACTTTACTTCCAGTCTCTTTATAAATAATTTAAATTGACATTTTGATTGATTGAAAATGTATTGACTGTTGATGTGGATAAAGTTTAGTCTTGATTAAGTGAAGTTGTACGAACGTGAGGCCTTGAGGGGAACTCCCCCGAGATAATCCCCTGTACCCAGAAGTAGACCTAGTCAAGGCCTTGTTTGCGTGGGTTGAGGACTTCGATGGAATAAGTTACACTTTACGCGATAGATATACGTTACCGTAAAATTTAATTCAGAGCCTTGTTTTCCAAATTCAATCAGCAGCATGAACCCTGAGTAGTATAATTTTGTAAATTCAGATATTTTTAGATGGAAATGACACCGTGGACATAAATTAGACAGGTCAATAACACAGAAAAATAAATTGTCAAAATCGTTTGAATTCATTTAGAATAAGGCTCACAATTAAATCCTATGTTCTCTTATTAGTGAATGTAACCTATATATGTGTGAAGTCCATAACCTACGCAGGAAGGCCTTGACTGGGTCTACTGCTCCCTGGTACAGAAGTACGTCTCGGGGGATCACCCTTCAAGGCCTACACGTTCTATGCCGTCATTGGTACAAGTCTACAAGTTATCTACACAATCAATAAATTTCAAAATTATTTAATAGAGTTATACAATATTTATAATAATAATAATAATAGTAATAATAATAATTAGGCCATATTATTATTATTGCTATTATTATTCTTATTATTGTTGTTTTTGTTGTCGTTGTTATTATTATTATTACTATTTTCGTAATAGGCCTTGGCCTAATAATAATAATGGGCCTAATGAATTATTATTATTATAATTAATAATAATATTAATAATCTTCATTTATAGAGTGCAATACAATATCCATTAAAAATTATCACAGGCACATCATCATTTAAGCATAATGTAAGTCTAACATACTATTATATTATAGAAATATCTGAAACCATGAAAATACAATTATATCAGAAATATTACATTAAAACTTTAAGACTTACTTTGAATCCATTTTTTTAAATTACAAGAAAACGGCGACATGCAAAAATATTGAGCAAAAGCCATGGAATATTAAAATTTGGATTTAAAAGAACATATTGAATATATTGGAGAAGATAAAAGGCCTATATTAAACGTCTTTAAAATCAAAATGTTTTTAAATGCGACTTAATCAACAGAGGAGAATATATAATGGTAGAATGTTAAAAAGCTTAGGGCCAATATTCTCTAAGGCACAGTCTTAAATTTTGAATTTATAATATTATTACCATCATTATCATCAAATAATATATGAGTCACTGATATATTAGAAAAGGTGATCAATCTTATGCTCGTAGTTTGCTCTCAAAATTGTCTGTATTTTAATTTCTACTGAGACAAAGAAATGAAATAAAAATGACGAAGCCCTATTTTCCTGTTTCTGAAGAGTGCTTGTATTCTGTGCACCTTGCATTAGTAATCGTATTGAGGGCGACATTTTACTCTGCGAATGCTTAGAGGCAAGGAAGCGATTAGGGAAGTTTATCCAAACTCACTTTACTTACTTTTGTTTAATTTACCTTTGGTGCTAGGCTTCAAGCTATGTTTGTATGCCCAACTTGGTACTTCTCACTTTCTCCCGTACCGACGACTAAACTTCAGCGAAGGTGCGGAAATTCAGACTGCAGCTGGACAAATTGTATTGTTTAGCAGCGCTTTCTAAGCAACTACTAGCTTCTCCCAAATATGTTAAGATATCCACTTCAAACAAAGTGGCAGTTATATGAGCATCACCATGGCATAATTAATTTGCCAAATTATATAAGTTTTTTCAAAAGATTTATCCTCGGAAGTATTCAGCAGGTAACTTCGCTCATAATGCTAGATTTCTTCAGACGTATTCTACAACATATTTGAGTATGCGGCTTGTGTAATACACGTCTGTTGTAAGTTTCATACTATACAGTATTTCCATTAACCAATATTTCGCGCCAAACGTTGACAATGGTATATTCACAAAAGTATTCAATTTGCGTTTTAATTATATTTCGCCTTGGTGTTGTAACTGCCCACAATTTGGATGTTCTAAACGCTCAAGTCTTCGTGGGTCCAGAAAGGAGTAAATTTGGTTACCGGGTACAGTTACATAAAAACAATAAAGGCAGTATGTAAGTATTGTAATATGTCACTGTATTTCATACGTTTTGGCTTATAAAATAGAGGCCAGTATAAGCGTTTTATCTTCGTTTTACCTTTTATCGCTCATGTACCGTTTTTCACAAATAGCCTTATGCATTAAGGACATTCTCGGACATTTCTCGCAAATAATTCAATATTTCATCTAGATCAATATCTTTAGTTTTGTTTAGAAGATATACTTAATGTCTTTAAATTATCAGTAATATTTTCCATGCAGAAAAAAACCCCTGCCTAAGCCCAACCAAACACTCAATTATGTCAGCCTTCTTTGCTCTGTTTTTTTTGTTGTCTTGCTAATGATGAAATAACTAAGTAACATTTACATCAAAATTGTGCCTTGTAAACATAGTAAAAATAATTAAAATATATGGCACCCAATAATTTATTATTAACATATCCGACAGACTTTCTATAAATAAATATATTCATACGATATACTATTGAAATTACACATCCTTCAAAATAGCCTAAATACATACCATATATGAAATTTGTAATTCCTATTTGATTATAGTATTTTTATAATCATGCATTCAATCTACCTGACTAAACCTAATTAAACACTCAATTATATCAGCCTTCCTTGCTATCTGATTTTTCTGTGTTGCTGCTGATGAAATAACATGTGGATAATAATTGACATTTACAACAGAGTGCGTTGTAAACATAATTACAAAATATTTAAAATATATATTCACTCAATAATGCATGTACCATATCCAACAGACTTCTGTCACCTAAGTGTATTTCATAGGGCTATGAAAAATGTAGTTACACGAGGCAACTTATATTTCGCAAGTTTATGTAAGTGACAATTTTTGCTTATATTCACTAATGTCTTTAAGGGTTCTCGTTAGCGCACCAACTGGAAATTCATCGTACCTGCCTATGTTGAACAAAACTGGTACTTTGTACGCATGTAGAACCAGTAATAGCAGTTGTAATGAAGTAAAGTTAGATACTGAAGGTAACCTGAAAGGGCCACGGAGTCAGTTTCCAATGATTCGTGAAGATAAACGAGACGGGTGGCTTGGGGTGTCTCTTACTCGAAACAGCTTGAACGGTGAGATAGCTGTAAGTTTACATATAACTCTTTAAATCACTTTTGAAGTATTTAATGTTTACCGTACAAGAGTTAAGAAGCTGAAGTGACGGTTAATAGGCCCTATATTATGACCGTTTATTTAATAGTTCTTTGCAATCTTTGCAAAGTTTAACGTGTTTAGCGCAGCTATTTTTATACCTCCATGATTTGACTAGAAATAACTACATTTTTGCTGTGCTGTGCACCGCGGAACCAACGGCTTACAGTCTTTTCTAAAAGACGGTGGGCTATTGAATTGAGATTAAGTCATTTAGAGATTGAACACAAGAAACTCAATGTAAAGTCTTACACAGTGGCTACCACAGAGAATCTCATCTTAACTAGGCCTAACAAATTGAGTTACGTTACTTTAACACTGTATTATGATGTAAAAGTCTATGTGTGAAATATTCCGGTACTTAATAAATAATTAGGTCTACAGGCCCGGTTTAAATATCTTGTTAGTTCTCTATTACTGTTTGCTTACTGAAATTAAGCCCTTTAGATTGAACACAAGAAAGTCAATGTAAAGTCTTACACAGTGGCTACCACAGAGAATCTCACCTTAACTAGGCCTAACAAATTGAGTTACATTACTTTAACACTGTATTATGATGTAAACGTCTATGTGTGAAATATTCCGGTACTTAATAAATGATTAGGTCTACATGCCCGGTTTAAATATCTTGTTAGTTCTCTATTACTGTTTGGTTTAAGTCGTTTGAGAGATTACTTGTTTTCACAGATATGTTCTCACTTATGGAAGAACCGATTTTCATCTGGATTTTTCAGCGCTAACGGCGTGTGTTACATTATCGATTCGCAACTAAATTATGATAGTGTGGTAAAACGTCGACCTTGTATGTATGGTATGTAGGCAAGCTCAATTTGTAATTTATTGCATAAAAATTAATTGGGTAAATTTTATATGCCTACGAGAGAGCAGCTTATTTTATAGGTCTATGAGAGAGCAGCTTAGCTCAGTCGGCTAATCTGGTGGTACCGCTGTGTGTGCGCTGGACAGTGGAGATCTCTAGGTTCTCGGTTCAATTCCCATCGCTACCTCTTCTTGTGTTTCAGCTGGAGGGCTGAAATACAAGTTACAGCAGCGCACCGTCTTTCGGATGAGACGTTTAAGCCGTTGGTCCCGTGTGCATTTATGGCCCATGTGCACATTAAAGAACGCAGTACACTCTTCGGAAAAGAGTAGGGGATTGTCTCCCGGTGTACTGCCCAATCACCACAAGAAGGACCCCACTGAAAATAAGTCTTATTCTGAACTTTCGTGGGCCATCCATGGTGTTTACACCGAATAAATCCATACGGGTCACCCATCCTCTTATAATTGGTTGGTTTTCTCTGGTGTGTGAAACAAACCCATATAAAAGTATAGAGACATATTTCGGGTATTGTCTCTTCGCTGTCAAGGACAATTCGTGTCTTATAAGATAACACTTAAACCACGCCGCACTGCACAGGTGTGCTAAGAGGTTATTGAGGTACTCTTTAAAAGATGTTTAGAGGACTAGAAAAACCATTGTTTCCCATTGTTCACCATATCATCCATTAAAATAATTCTCGAATGTTCTTTTATCTAATAGAGGAGCAGTCGAGGTTTAATGCAATTGACTACAGTTTTTGTCAAGCTGGAATAAGTGCCGTTTACCGCAAAGGCTCAACAACATTGTTACTGGGAGCTGTCGGTTACAGATCCTGGCAAGGTACCATCAACCATCAGCCTATCGACTCTCGAATACAACCAACTATCAAATGCCACATACGTTAAAATGTCATTAAGGTTGACC